TGCATCTCGACCAAATTTTCATAATCGAGAAATATAGAGTATCTCTGGCATCATATCTTGGGTTCAACCAATCCCAGAAGAACCCAATTCTACCTCTTCCACAACGGGTTATGATCAACATGCAGAAGCTTGAACTAGTAACCTAGGACTAGTCTTACAACTTTAGTGAATTTTATTCAACTTTGTCCATAACATGTTTACGTCATCGTGCATCTCTGGCTATACAACCGATGATGAGTCTTGCAGTATTGGTGAATTTCATTCGACTTCATCTATAACAGATTAATGTCATCGAGCATCTTATGCTATACAACCTAGAATGTGTCTTACATCCTTAACATAATTTTATTTAGTCTCTACTAATGCAGACTTTAGTCATCGAGTGAATGCTCTAACTAAAGAGCCAAGGAAATGTCAAATATTCTAATTGGTTTACAAGGTCTCCACTTATACCCCTAGAAGGCACACCCATGAGGTAGCCTCAATGAAAAGCTAGTAGTGACATGATTTTCACCAAAAAAAGGCCTCTTAAGGGCATGTGATAGATAAGAACTCCACTCATATACCTGGCGTACACTCCCATGAGATAGCATCAATACAAAGCTAGTATTGGACAAGGTATTCACTAGAGGGACTCCATGAGTGCCAGTAGTTAACAAGCTCAAAAATCTTAGAAAGCGATATGGATCAAAAAATATAAGTACGTAAAAAATCTCAGAAAACTATATGCCTCACAATGTATATACACATCAAAAATTTCAAAATATTATAAGCCTAAAAAAATACAAGTACAAAAAAATCTTAAATGACTATATGCTTCAGAAAGTACATGTACATAAAAAATTTAAAACTATTATAAGCCTCGAAAGGTATAAGTTCATAACAAAATTATAGAATATCACACCTTGATGTGATGGGACAATGGGAACTTAGCAAATGGGGCAATACTAATCCAAAGATATGGGACAACACCGACCCATGACAAGACAACATTGTTTGAGTAACTCCAAAAAATTTTGATAACTCTTAGCCCGATGTGTAATTTTCCAATCCAAGATTAACACTCAAAAAGTGTAATACAAAGTCAAAGACATGCATTATTACAAAGTTTAATGAGCCAAATTAAGCAAATGAAGAACTGGATAAACCAACACACTAGCATATCTACAAACTACATTAAATGCATGAAGAGCTACAAATACCGACACAATATCATAACAACGATAAGAAAAAACCACCAATACAAAAGCATAAAAAATATTAAGCTATTATAAAAATCTTTCTTTATAAGAAATATACTTTTGTAAGTCATTTTCATTATCATCCTCTTTTCGAGCAAAAAAGGGAGCTCGATACATCTGGCTAGGAGGCATGTCATTAGTGTCAACTCTAGTCTAGAGGTACATTAGTTGGGTTCCTTTCTAGAAGCTTTTCTTGAATTCAATAGCACATTGGGTCTATAACTTTATAATCCTCTTTTCAAGATCAAATATCTTCACTTGAAAGTCCCTTAAATTCTCTGCACTCTGATCTAAGTTAGCTGGTGTCATTGTTAGTTCTTAGATTTTTTTGAGATAAAAAAAAAAATTCATGGTGGATAATTTAGTCTTAAATTTCGTTAGTTGGTATCTCAAGGCTAATATATACTTTGCACTAGAGTTATACATTCGTTTATACTCGCCAAGGGGATAGTTGATATTCAAAAACTCGATCTTCCACACATCTTAGAAAATGTCCAACTCATCTCCGGTGAGCATCGATACCATCTCCTCAAGATTATGGTGCTTCCTTCGATTTTCAAGGGAAGGGGATTCCCCAAACATTAGCTTCTCAAAGCATGAAAAATCTCCTCATAAAGCACAACAACAATGTAATAAGGAACTCTGAGGGTTGCACTACTTTAGTGCAAAAGGAGGCACAACAATTGGTCAAAGGAACTCTAGGGATTGCACAACTCGATTGCAAAAGGGGCACAACAACTGGCTAAAAGAACTCCGAGCATTGCACAACTCCAATGCAAAAGGGACACAACATTAGGCCATGAGACTCCCGACAATTCAGGGAGAAAAGTGTGCTTTCTTTTCTCTTTTTTTCTCAAAATGGTGAAAACCCAAAAAATTTTATAAATCCACATTATCCCATGACAACCCATTGAAGCGCCCCAATTTCATAACCTAGGTGATCGCAACCGCAAGATTGCAACTCTCATGATCAATTTGGAAACGACTCGATGGGTTAGCCAGTGCAACCTCCATCCATCGTCTCCAGCCCAACTTATTGACTCGCAGGCCTATCGCCTGAATCTCTAGCTCGTGTATGTAGGCCCGCCTACTGATCAACCATGTCCCCGAGCTAGAAAAGATTGAAGCACGAAACTTTACACCCGAATTCCAACACCCTACATTCAATTGTAGCGCACTTGTGCCACCTATCATTGTATGGGCACCCAATCACGCAAATTGACGGTTCTCCATGGATTTGAGTCAATTCGTGTTGCGGGAAATATAAAAAGGCTTTTTCATGTGGAAGAAGAGAGATGACTAAAGAAGGGAAACTACTACATTTCTTCCACCATTAGAGAGCAATTTATACTAGAGTGAGTGTGTTGATTTGATGAGATTCAGGAGTTAAGTGCAAATGAGTCTAGCATTTGCACACAAGAGATCAAATTAAAGGAAGATTCATTGCGAAGTGAGGATTAGTGTACTTAAAGGAGAATCAACTCTAGTTAGATTTTTCTATGCTTGTAAGCACTAATCTTATGATTTTAATGGATATTTTTTATTTTCTTCAAATAGGTGAAGCAATTAAGTGATTTCATGCTTATGTGATTTGGAATTACGTTGACTTGTATTTTATAAATGAGATTTCCCTAGACTATTAAGTGCTTTTATTGAATGTTTATGTGATGTCGTTTTTATCTTCATTTACTTTCAAATTGGTCATCTGGAATGTTAAAATCACTTATGATCTAAGACTCTGATCGTTGACAAGAAGAACAAGTTAATTAATACACAACCAACCATTGGAATAAACAAATTATTAGTAGGAGATTGCAATCTGACAGGGTATTGGACAATTCCTTTGATTCCTTTTAGGGTTAAATAATCTTAACTATAATATGAAACTCTAATGCTCCTTATCGCTAGAAATATTATGTGGAGTGATTATCTTCAATTGTCGATATAAAGCTGAGAAACTTATCATAATGATTATTAAACTAATTCACAGGAGCAAGATTTTAGTTTGCATGATTAGAAAACTCTAATTTTATTTAGTAGGATTCAATTTTGGAAATTTAGGATTAAACATTTTAAAAATTCATAAAATTTCTTTTTCTAACTTAAATTTTGGATTAGCAAACTAGAATCTGTATGTTTTTTGGAAATTAACAAATTTCATCATAGATCGATACACGAACTCAAATCTGTATATTACTGGAGCAACATGTATACTTGTGTGGTTGACGTGTGCTTAACAATACCACAACATCAATTTTTTCAAAGAATATTAAGAAAACCAATCCCTTCATATTTCATAATTAACTCCTTATAATCATTCTTTTGATAAATTAGGACCCAACACTAAAAAATATTTAAAAAATTCAATCACCATTTTAAAATTCATAATACAAATATAATCTTAAAAATATGGGGCATTTATATACATATAACAAAATTTATATATTATTAATGATATAACAAGAAGTTTCATAGTTAGATGCATGACAATCAACATCATTGATGTGTGCTAGATGATTAGTTACGTTAGAGTCATGAAATATAATCTTAAAGTTGAACAAAAATCCATCACATACTCATATAATAAGAGTGATAGATAGAGAAATAAAAAGTTTTTATGTGAAATAACAAGAAATGAAAACAACCACGGGAACTTGCCTAGATGAAATAATTCACTATGAGTTGGTGATTCCCTGTACAAACCCTCGTGCCATAGGCAAGAAAATGCTACACAATTCTCTGAGGCACATCATTTGTTGCGCAATGATCATGAGTGATTGCAATTATAAGTATTTGCTGAAAGTTTAGTATACCGTATTCGATGTGCATTGTTGCTTTGCAACATATGTTAGGATCTCGTAGTACACATCATGGTTCCACAAGAGCAGGGGATAACCGACAATGGGCAGCGGCTGCAGGAGCTGGTAACGTTCACCAGGTTTTCAGTCTAGAACGACATTGAAATTCAACTCCTCGATCTTGCTGTAAGTCAAACTATTCCTCTGATTCAAAGTCTAGCCTCAATGTTTCTTTTCTTGAAGGGGGTAGGGCTTTATTTTTAGAGTATATGAGATGTCTTTCTACAAATAAAGAAAAAATCTTGACCACTCCATCAGACCACCCGGAGATGTTCCCTCTATCAAATATTCCGTGGATATTTGGGTGTCCTATTGATGTTGAAATTATGCGATCCTGAGCTCATTTGATTCATCTTATTGAGACACTTGATTTGACTATAAACTTGACAAATTTGAATTTCGTTTGACATTCCAATTGCACGCCAGAAACTTCAAAAAATAGTTAACTGCTTGATTCGAGTTTGATTTGAGTCATATTAAACCAATTTTAGTGTCATCGTGTTTGTTCGTAGAACCAATCTGTTTGATTATAACTTTGTTGAAATCAGAGTTCTGGATCATTTTTAATTAGGATTTGAATGTTTATGGCTCAAAAAAACTTTATTGAGATTCGTGCTACATGCTTGAAATTTTTTTTATGGCCTATTAATGATTTAAAAAACTTCTTATCATTTATTTTTTTTAAATAAAATACACATTTTCATTTTCTAGCATTATTTGATGATACTAAATGTTATAAATCCAAAGATAAAAATATATTAGAGTTTGGTTATATGCATCTAAATAACTAAATAATTAATTTATAAACCAAATACTCCTGCTTAATTGATATTACTATCATTTTAATAATATTACTATATATATTCTAAACTAATAAACTCGAATACCCAATCCTCCAATCCCCTTCCAAAACCCTTCCTTCCCCAAAACTCTACTACGTGCCCTTTGAAGTCGCTTCCTTTCTTCCTCCCTTTCACCCTTATGGCCTTCTCCCCTCTCTCCCAACTCAGCTCCACCTTCCTCCGATCATTCCTGAGCTCAAACCGCTTCGCCTTATCTCCGCCGCCTCTATCCGTCTCCTCCCATAACCGTCTCCTTACTCTGGAAAGAAGCTCTGTTCCCCAAATCCGTCGGCTTCAGTTCTTCTCCTCCGCTTCCGCGGTTGCCATCGATAGCGTAGAGGCGGCCCCTTCTGCTCACCCCTGGCCTGAATGGAGCCAATTCGTTGAGAAGATAAGGAGCAAAGGCTACTTCGAGATTCTCCATTCCGAGCTTGCAGATGATGAAAGGGAGGCTTTCACTGCTGCTACATCTCCTTCTTTGGACGATAAAGGGATCGCCTTAGATACTAACAGGTTGAAGAACGCTTGCCTCAAGTTTGCTAGAGAGAGATTTGATATTTTAAGGTGGCTATCATTCTCTTTTCATTTTTCTTTTTTTCTGTCAAGATGTGGCATATGAACTGTTATGCTGATTATCTTCGATATAATGGTCAAACTATGATTTTTTCTTTATTTATTGTTTGTAATTTCTTATTTTATTCCCACAATTTAATTTACACACATATCTAAATTTTAACTAACAGCAGCACACAAAATAGGAAAAAAAGGGGAAACTTGCATACATATCCCACAATGCATTTGTGCTTACATTTCTAACACCTTATATCTGATATTTACATTTATAACTTTGGTGTCATGAACTTGTGCATGAAAAGGGGCACTTCACTTTTAAAAAGTTAGTAGTGGTGGTTTCTTATGTGATATTAAAGATTAGAGTGTTATGTATGTAGACATGAAAGTTTAGATGTTAGATGTATAAATACATGATAATTGAAAAAAAAAAAAACAATATTATCTGCATTGGCCTAGATTGGCCTAGATTTACTTATGGCATAATGTTGATAAATTTTTTTTGTTGATTTTCAATAATTGGTGCATATGTTTTGTAGTCCTTTATAAAAATCTGATTTTTGTATGTTCATTTTCAACTTGTTATTTTGCTGAATCACTTTATCATTCAGGTCTCTGCCTAAGGAAGACATTAGAGCTATTGTTCAGTCTGGATGTCCCAATCTGTTCAGAAAATCTGTTAATTCTGCAAAAAGGTTGAGAGCATTCTTGAGGCTTGATGAAGCAGATGTATGCTTCTTGCTCTTAATACTGCCTTTAGCTTTAAGTTATTTTTGTCAGCCAAAATCTTAATTTAATGAGCCACTCAATTATCAACTAGATTAATTTAAGTGACATTTTAATTAAAACATCGTGAAAACCATTCTCTCGCTTAGCCTATTAATCTTAATTTAGCATTATGCCACTAATATGTTATCATTATCAAATATATCATTACTGTTTTCTTAATTATAAAAATTTTTAAATATGACATCAAAGTTACATTTGACTACACTTTATGTAAATTTAAAAATTATATTAGTAAACTTTTAGTAGGAACATAAAAATGTCAAGGAATGAACATATGTACCTCAAGTTGGCGAATTCACTTGAATATGTGAAATCGACCTTTAAACTGTGGTGAATTATTGAATGAAATTCATCAGAGGAAGAATGAATTTAAAATCTTAGTACTCTGATACTAATTTCTAGCTAAAATTTTGATTATATGACGTAAATGGAAGTAAGAATCTTATTTCCAGGCACATAAATTTGATTCAAGGTGAACACCAAGAAAATGCTAGACTATCTGAGCATTTTGAGAAAATTTTATATTTCTCAAAATGATGGCATCACAAAAGCTTCTTTTATTAGAATAAACACTCTTAAAATTGCTTTCTATATATATATATATATATATATATAGATAGATAGATATGTTCATCTCCCATCATTAAGATGCATGTGTGTGACTTTAAGTGAATAACCAATTTCTACTAATGGGAGATATTTACTAACAGAAATAATTTGGTAGTTATTTTAATTAGATAGGCCACTTAATTATTAAATTAATTTATTCAAGCCACATAATGAATTGTCATATTGGACTACATAGTGTGCCAGAAATCAATGTGATAAATATGGTTGAAACATTTTCTGTTATTGCAGGTATGTTGTGCTTGCAATATTCGTGTATCTTGTGATAGAGCGTATAAAATTGTTCATGAAGAAGAAGGAGCTCGCACAGTGGATATTATGCGTGTCTTATTAAGCTATGCTATAAATCCAGCCGCTCTTTTAGGCGGAGAGAATTCTCCTGTAAGGGTTCAAGTTCAGGAGTCTGCCCGCAAGCTTCTTTCAGAATTTACTAGATTGAGTGATACTATAATTGATCCAGCTCTTCCAAAGCCAGTTCTGAATCTTAGTAATCAAAAGGAACCATCTAGTCAATTGAAGACAGCCACCAGCAAAAATAAAAATTCTCAAAATGTTGAAATGAAGAGGGGGGATTGGTTATGTCCTAAGTAAGTTTTTTTCATACATTTTTTATTTCCGGCTACATAATTTTCACGCATTTAGGACTCCCACTTCTGTGCATTAAGGAGTCAGGGGCTACAGTTATTGAGGTTCTTAAATTTATATATACTGGTTTGATGTTTAGTTTATCTGCATATTCATTTTTTAAAGGGAATTTACCAAGTTTATCAGTCAATTATGTGCTGCTAATACCAAAGTGGAAAGCTCTTGATCGTGCAAGAGAAATTAATGGCAAAGAGGAAGAGAGACTTGAATCACTCATGTCTACAGTCACATTAGGGTGAGTAAAGGAATTGATGCTGAGTTTAAAGGGGGGGTGGGGTCGAGAGAGAAAAAGCAATAAAGACGAGAGAGAATAGGGAGGTTGATGGCCAGCGATAAAGGATGAAAACTTGTTTACTCGTCGTGCAAAAGGGCCCAAGTCACCTTTAGGAGCACCAGAAAGACAAATAGGATGAACAAACAAATAAATCCAGCACCATGAAAACATGATATAAGATAATATGACAATTACACAAATAATAAGTTCAAATTTTATACTTTTTGCTAAAAATTGATTTACACTTAATCAACATTGAGTTATAAAAAATCAACTATTAATATATTTAGAGTACAAAAATAAGAATATTAAATAAATATTAAATTCTTATAGGAAACTAACAGAGGAGAGTTGCAATTATCTCACAAAATATTGGAGGAAACTTTCTCGAGATAAATTCAAAGAGAAGAATAGACTGATTCCACTCCCACCAAATTTCTGAAAATGAAGAAGAATATCTGGTACTCTTGACATTTCCCTAAATGTTCGAACTTGAGATCTCTTGATCCCTCACATTTAAAGTTGAGCTAGTTTCTTTGCATGGTGCTTTGTTTGGTGATTGAGGATATTGAATCTCATAACCATCCACTAAAAAAACCTTTGACTAGTCCCTCTATATTACTGAATTATTTATTCAGTAGTTCCCTTTATCAATCATGTCTAATTCGTGATTCATCTGGCAAAATCCAAAAAAAAAAAATGGAAATAAAGATGGAAAAGAAAGGGAAGGGGCTATTTAAAGAATCTTTAAGATTTAAGATTTGACTCGAACAATTCCTCCCCTTTTTATGAAATATCCTCAAAACAACATCAATAATCATGCTATTCTTTATATTACAAGAATCTCTTTTTCACTTAAAGTCCTCATGTCTATCAATAGCTATACAAGTTAATCAAGTTCATCCATTACCTGTACTTGAGAATATGAATTATTTTATTAAGCACTTTAGGTTGGATTATGCTCAATGCAGATATTATTTTTTGAGGAATCATCATCTTTAACATTTTGTCCAATAAAGAACTGCCAAATATCAATTTGTTTGGTTTTTAAATGATATATTTAAACTCTAGCTAAACTCTTGCTATCATTGAACATGATTGAATTATCTTGCGGCAAACCCAAGTCTTCAACAAAGCCTATTCGATAGGCAACTCATTATAAACCTTCTTAGTAAGTGTCTTGTGATTTAACTTTATAGTAAGCAAAGCAACCGTGGGCTACAAGGTTGTTAGAGTGAAAAAAATCTATAACTATTCACTAAAGAAACCTTTGTGAGAAAACAAAAAGGCAGGAATAGAGAAATATATGGGTTAGTGGTTGATTTATGAAGATGAGTGTAGATTGGTGAAGGTTTATGAAAATGTTCGTAGATAGATATATAGTTAGTGGTTCTTGTGGGAATTTGGTTAATGAGGTGTACAACAGTGAGTATACCATCCATTCAAAACTTGTAAGGAAGTTGTGCATGATGAAGTAAGGCCCTAGTTATTTCAATGATGTGTTTATGTTTATTTTCAACGACGCCATTTTGTTCCGGAGTACAATGACATGAATATTGATGTATATGTATTTAAGTTGGTGTTACTGTATTCTCTTCCACCATCCATTCTAAGCATTTTGATTTTGATATCAAATTGATGGTGGATAAGAGTTAATGAAAGGTGTTGAGATATCAGTTGTTTCATATTTAATATACATCGGAAAAACCCAACAAAATCGAGAGAATTTATCAATAAAAACAATATAATATCTATAACTTTGATAAGAGACAATTGGAAAGGACCCCAAACATTACTATAAAGAGGTTCAAGTAGTTTATATTTTTGTCCTGCACTAGATACAAAAAGTTGTTTGTGGCTTTTAGTAAGATTGAAGTGTTGCACGAGGTGGAGCTGGATGGTATGAAGTGATAATGGTGTTTCTCTATGGTCGCTATGATATCTGAATGTGGTTCTCTCAAGCGCTGATGCTATAATGTAGCTTGCTGCGATTTAGAAAGAGAGATGGTAAATGCTTGTGGTAGAGAAGTATGTGTTGGAGTGGGCTAGAGTCTTCTAGAGCTGGGACCCTTAAGGATGATCTGTTGAGTCTGAGGATCATAAGTAACAAAGACAGGTGGATTTAAGAGGACAATGACATTATTGTCTTTGGTTAGTTTATGGATAGACAAAATATTATAAGAGATTAGAGGAGTGTGATGAATTTGAGAGAGTTTTAACTTACGATTTGGAGTGGGAAGAAGACCGTCGCCTTTATGCGGAATTGGGACAGCTTCGCCATTGTCGACCATGACGTGCTCCATTCCATTGTATGTTATAGCTGATTGAAGCTGATTCAGATCTGAGGTGAAGTGATTGGTTGCACCGGAATCAAGAATCCAGTCCTTGGAAGTAGCATTGAGGCTTGCGGTAGAGTTGTAGGTGTGTACTCCAAGGTGTCCTAATTTGTGACATATTTGACACGTAACATTGGATCGATTGGATATTATTCCTCCATGTGAATTGTTTTGATAGCCTCTTCCTCCCCTTGAATTTGTTGGCTGATGTCTCCCCCTTGTTTGATTGAATGATGTGTTGCGTCCCTTGACAAAATTGAGAGCTAGAGGAATTTCTGTTTGAGAAATCTGCTTTGCATTGTCTGTATTAATGTTAGTCTCTTCACTACAAAGAAGAGAGTAGAGATCATCAAGAGCAATAGGTTGTAGCCGTGTCCGAATCGCTGTTTTAAACGTGTTGTATGTTGGAGGAAGTCCATTCAGAATATATAGGATAACATCCTCATCTAATCTGGACCTTGCCGCATTGATATGATCAACCGGTGTTCGAACCTCTGTTAGGTACTGTGCCATCGTTTTATCCTTCATGGCTATATGGTGTAATTCATTCTTCAGTTTGATCACCCTGGATCTATTAGTGGGTTGTAATCAATGTTCTAGTGTTGTCCAATTTCAACAATAGTTTGAAGATTTATGATGTGTGGGAGGACAACTGAGGATATTTTTGAGTAGAGGGAGGCTGTGAGTTTTTGGTCAGCAATAGTTCATTCATGGAATTGTGGATTTTCGGCTGCCTCCGTATCAAACTGTGGTTGGAACTTATTGTTGCCTTCCAGAAATCCTACAAAACCATTTGCAGTGAATATCTTCAAAATTTGGGCACACCATATATGGTAGTTGTCAGGGGTGAGAGGAGTTTGGGAAAATTATTTCAGTAGTGAGTTAAGGAACTTGAGGGATGGAGGTTGAGATTAGTGGAGTTTGGGTTTCTGACATTGCTCTTTCCTCCATATTTTTAAGTGAAGTACAGAAGCATCGACAGTAAAAAAGAAAGTGAGCAAGAAATCTGTAGATGAGCCTCACAGCGACAACCTTGAGAATGAAGTACAGTAGGTACTTCTAAGAGTGACATAGCGTGCTGCTCGAGGAAGGATACAAAGTGAAGAAGATCTGAAGCCTTACTGCAATTTCAGCTTTGATACCATGAGAAAACAGAAAAGTAGGAATAAAGAAATATTTGGGAGCAAGATAGCTGTAAAGACTAGCAGCCTTGTATTGATTCATTAGAGAAACATATTACATAGGCGATGCGATATATAGCGTAGAGAGAAGCTTCTAGAGTTGTTGAACAAGCATAATTTGTAATCATACGGCTAGGATTCTGATATTATGGTTATCCACATGTATTGGTGATATGGCTAATACTTTGGCTAGTCCAACTATATTACTGAATTATTCAATCAATAGTTCCCTTTGTCATCATGTCTCATGACTCTCATCCTCGATCCATCTAGTAAAATCGAAATAAAAAAAAGAAAAGAAAAAAATTGAAAGAAAGATAAAAAAGAAAGGGGAGGGACTGTTTAAAAAATCCATAAGATTTAAGATTTAATATAATCTCAAAAAATTCGTCCTCATTATATAGGAATAAAATGGATAATCATGCCAGTTCTTATTTTACCAAAATCTCTGCTTCACTTAAAGTCCTTGTGGCTATTCTTAGCTACATAAACTAATCAAGTCTAAGCATTACTTGAACTTGAGAATATGTTCAAAATTCTAATTCTTAACCGTTCATTTTTTTTGTTTTTTAATATGATAGTAAAGTAATATTTTAAGAATTTATTTTTTTATTTTTTCTATTCTAAATCTAAATCTTTTTTCTAACCATCTGATGAAAACAAAAAATAAAAACAAAAAATGATCATTATTAAAACCAGATGATTCTTTAAAATTGGACCAATTCATCGGTGCAACAGATAATTTTGATCGATTCTTTTAAACTTGGATTGAATACTCTGAAGATTGATTCACGGTGGAATGGGCCACATATTTGCTAGCCTGGTTTGATTTTTTAAACCATGAATATGAGGAATCTTCATAAATATTAGTTTGAGGCCAGTAAAGAGCTTGGCCATTCGATAAAGATTCTAATATGTCATAAAGGATGAATATCCCTTAGAGATTTTGCCCGAGATGGGACACTTATGGCCTTTTTCCACATCTTTAGACATTGATTTTATGATAGTGCGGGCATAATAATTTTTTTCTTGATGATCTACATCACAAATCTTCCTAATAAAGTTGTCTAAGATTTGCGACATGGTCGACAACAAAAATTATGCCTATCGTGCTAGTCTATGGATTTCCAAGGATCGGGTGCTTCTATTCTTAAGTGTTTGTGGGATTTTTCCAATGAAGTTCCAACAAGAAGACTCCTAGTAATTTCTTGTTCTTAAGCGAGAATTATCAAGGGACGACCTAAATACTTTTTGAAATGAGTGGTGGAAAAGTGCAAGAAATGTTAAAATCTGGTGGTGAAAATTTTCTTTACTTACTAACCTTATAAGGGGCGATAGTTTCACAAAATTCCAACTCTCTTAGGGTTGGTGATTTTCTAATTATCTAGAGTGGTTTAGAAATTAATTAACTCAAGGACATCTGGGCAAGATTAGAGGATTTTGAAGTTGGGAATTGACTTTTGAGAATCCTAAAAGTTGGCAATAGTAACTTGAGCTAGAAGTATTTGCTTTGAAGAGAATTTGAATCCGAGAAAAACTCGGGAGATTCAAGGTGATACATTAGAATTACGAGCTGAGTTTTGAGTAGAAAACTCATTATTGGTAGATTGGCAAGAGGGTGTCTAGAGAGTGTGCCCAAGTGACAAATAACTCCGAAGATAATGTATGATCATTGAGAGCACGATAATGATGAAAACATGGCTAAGCGATCCATGATTTTGATTTTAAATTTGATTCCATCTCCTCGCAACATTTTAAGTTTGAGCAATAATTTTCTATATCATTAATGGTGTTGCTCTCAACGCCTTATCCTTATAAATGTTCATCAACTTTAATTGACATAGGTTGCCTATATAAAGAGGTTCGGCGAAGGGAAAAATGTGAGCTTTTTTAGGTGGAAGCCTTTGTAGCACCAGCCTCATAAGTGAGAATCTTTGTGACATCATAATTAGCCTCTAGAAAATGAGTGTCAGAGAGTAGTGAGAGAGAGAGAGAGAGAGTTTCTCTCCAATTAATGAGCTAAAGAGAGAGGATTCAAAGAAGCATTGTCTTCCTCCTTGTATTTATTTGGTTATCTTACCAATGAAACTTGTGTATTTCTTACTAAAACAAAATTCTAGATTAGCCTGCCTTACGCCATTAATTGCTGATCAATATTTTAGCCAGTTCTCCATTTTGGTGTCCTGCTAGTGTAATTAGATCATATCTTTGGAGGGTGAATTTATTTTTACCTTAACTTTTTTACGTTTGGCTTGAAATCCTCTAGTCGTATTTCGGGTTTATGCCTTCATTTACTTGATTTTTTCCTTCATTAGTAAACCTCTAGGGGCCGTGGGTGTTCTTCATCTTAAAAATAATAAATTTTTTTTGGGGATTTGCTTACAAATCAAACAATTCTTATGTATTTACATATCTCTCACCTAAACTTTCATATGTACACACATAACACTTAAGTCTTTAATAGCACATCAAAAATAGCACTACTACTACTTTTTAGAAGTAAAATACATCTTTTCATGCATAGGTTTAAAGCACGAAAGAGCTATATGTGTAATATGAAAGTTTAGGTGTGAGGTATGTAAGTTGAAGTTTAAAAAGGCGAAATTAGGAATTGAGGCTATTTGTCTTAGCGAGGCAGGGTGTAAGCCTTGAGGCTGATCAAGGCATAAGCCTCAAAAAAAAAAAAAAAAAACTCAAAAAATTAAAAATATTTCATAAATTTGACATAAACTATTAATATGTTGATTTAGTTTATTATCATAAAGACAAACTATAAATCTTAGCTTAAAAATTGATATAAAATGCACGTTTGAAATGTGATTTTAGGTAAACATTCACTTAAAATTTGAATATTCTATGAAGTTCAAGATCCATGGTGGCCTCATCATTGTTTTTGTCATACAAAAAAAAAATCATCATATTTATTATTATCATCTAATTGTCTTATTGAAAACTCTAAAATATTTTTTATTCATCATAATTTTCCTCTTACTAACAATTAATTTGAAATCCAATCTAATTTAAATAAATAAAGTAATTAATAACATAATCAAATAATCATATTTAAATTATCTTTTGACATTTTAAGGCATTGTATCAAATATATTAAATATAAAAAAATATAATATAATAAGTATGTTTTTGCATAACTTGATTGGGGGCATAAAGCTTTGAGGCTTAAGCCTTAAATGAAAAAGACGTAAGCCTCATGGGCGGCAGTGAGGCTTAAGCCTCAAGGATTTTTTTTTATGCGCCTCAGTTCAAGGTGCAGCGTAATTCTTAAATGCCTTTTTAAACTATGATGTAAATACATAAGAATTTTGTGTTACATATGTAAATTTCCCAAACAATTTATTACACTTCAAATTGATTTATATTTAAACTAGTATATTGCTATTTGATTTGACTTTTTAGGATTAAATTTTAAGAATCTAAATGTCTAGACCGATTTGTCTGAATGGTTGGAAAACACTAAAGTAATGCATCATAAACTCAAGTAGATGACAGTTTTAACTTACAATTTACTATGCTTTTGCACAAAAGACCCTCCAAACATCATATTGAGATTGACCTAAATTCTTTACAGTAAAACTCCGATCTTTATTTTGCAGCTGCAATTTTCTCAATTTCGCTCGGAATATTCGTTGTCTGGAATGCAAAGCAGATGGGCCCAAAAAGGTCAATAACGATGCCATGAAAATGAAACCAGGAGATTGGACCTGCCCAAAGTAACTTTCTTATTTAACTTTTGTTTTAGGGAAATTTACATGAAGACTGCACAATTCTTATGGATTTACATATCTAACACCTTAAGTTTGATATTTACATTATACCACCTTGACGTTATATGCCTATGTTTAAAAAAGGTGCATTTGGCTTGCATGTTAAATAACTTGATGTTATATACCTATGTTAAATATTAAAGTTTAGGTGTTCGATATGTAAATACATAAGAATTGTGTGGTATTTATGTAAAATGCCCCTTTGTTTTATCCACTTCTTTAGATAGCTACTTGCAAATAAGGTGAGCTGATCATTTCTATCTTGCTACCAGGTGCGACTTCATGAACTTCGCTCGCAACAAAAAGTGCTTCCGATGTCTTGAAGAACGGCCCAAGAGAGATCTAAATCCCGGAGATTGGGAATGCCCCGAGTAAGATTTGAAAAAACTTGCAAACCATCTTTTCCCACTTTTCCCATTTTCAAATCTTGCATTTCATTATGGGTGCAAAAATTAACCATTTGCATTTTTTCACACCATATCAAAATTACCACTATTTTAACTTTTAAAAAGTTAAATTCACATTATGCTTAGGTAAGGTGGTATGTATGCATGTAAAAATGAAAATTTAGGTCTTAAATATGTAAACATGTAGGAATCTAGTGGTATATATGTAAATCTTAGTTCACTGTAATAACTTGATTGGTGCAGATGCGACTTCCTGAACTTCAGCAGGATGCTGTGTGCCGGCGGTGCAACCTGGATAGGCCCAGCCATGAAGTCTCTGAATCCAAAGATCATATCTGGAGGAAAGCAGGAAATGCCACAAAGATTAAAGATTTAAGGTATGGGGACAGTGAAGATAAAGAGGATGAGAGTGAGGATGACTCATAACCAGAGAAGAAGAAGAAGAAGATTTGTGGCCACCCTCTCGACCTGACAAGCTGAAACTTTCTTCAGCTAGAGAAAGAATTCCATGAATCATGATGTGCAGAAATTTGCTTCTGGTTGACAATGCTGTTATATTCTCTAGAAGCTTTTCTTGTTCTTTGCTGATTCATGGCTGAAAGCTTTTGCATTTTTGTTTTTCTGTTTTAGGAACTTTTACTTTTGTTTCTAGGTAGCAATTTTTTTTATATATTTTTTGGTAAATTTGTGAATTATTTATTAGTGTCTGTTGGCTGGAGTCTTCTCCTCCATACTGGCTTTGAAGATTTGCTTTTGCATGGATGTAACGGCTCATGCCACATTGTTATTAATGCATTGTATTTGCTGATGTTTCCTATGATTTTCTAATGAGGATCATGTCAAGATTTGTCAGGGTATTGATTATTTGTGTAAAAATATTAAATAGTCGGCTTTTTGCTATCATTCATTGAATTATCTCAGTAAGATTTACATACATACTGCTCAATTGCTATGTCTTTACAGATCTAACATCTAAGCTTCAATTTTTACATGTATGTCAGATTATCTTTGTACGAAAAGGTTTTTTTTTTTTAATTTCTTGTGGTGATTTGAAAGATTTGGGTGGTGTAAATGTAAAAAATTAAGAGTTTGGTGTTAGATATGTAAAGGTATAAATATTGTGTGGTATGTTTGTAAATGCCCCATTATTTTAATTAAAATAAATTTGTCATTAGCATGCTTTTCACTAATACTTTTATTCGCACAACTCCTCATTTTCTCAATCCCCCCCCCTTTAATTTTTAATTTCTAACGGTCACTATGCTTCCCATCGATTGGATTAAAAAACTAACCCTTCCAATCACCAACTGCTATCCAAAAGCAGTTCTCTTCTCCTTCTTCTCTTCATCCTCCGGACTCCGATTGAAAACCCGCTCATTTTTTCTCAAAACCATTCTTCTTCTTCTTCCTTCGAATGGATCCTCCACAGCCACAAGACATGAAATTTCAGTTTCCACCCTCGTCAGCCCCCACTCTTCCCATTCCTCCTACTCCCCCGCCGCCGCCAATGAACTATCCTCTGGTTCTACCGGCGCAAATCCTCTCCCCAACCCCATGGTCCACTGGCCTCTTTGACTGCTTCAACGACATCGGAAACTGTACATAACTCCCTCCCCATCCTCTTCTTCACATGAAAATCGCCCACTGAACCCTTCTCTGCTTCTCCCCTGCAGGCTGTCTGACTTTCTTCTGTCCCTGCATTACATTCGGCCGCATTGCGGAGATAGTCGACAGAGGCTCAACATGTAAGCAATCCCACAAACCCATACCTCTTCTTCTTCGATTGATTGACGGCTTGTGGTTGCAGCCTGTGGTGTTAGCGGTGGTCTGTACGCTCTCTTGCTCTGCACGACTGGGTGTCAATGGATATACTCTTGTTTCTATCGGTCGAAGATGAGGAGTCTTTTCTTCCTGGAAGAGGGTCCTTGTGTTGATTGTTTGGTACATTGTTGTTGTGAAACTTGCGCGCTTTCGCAGGAGTATAGGGAGCTGCATAACCGAGGATTTCGTTTGGATTTGGGTATGGCGTGCTCTGTTTTTTCTTTTGTTTTAGCGTTTAGGGAAAATTGGGATTTTGAGTTTATGGAGGTTTTTGAACGCAGGATGGGAGGGTAGCTTGGTGAGGCAACAGAAGGCGATGGTGGCTCCGACGGTGGAAGGTGGAATGCGACGGTGAACTCCTCTCCCTCTCCCTCTGTCTTTCCCCATCCTGTGATTTCATGTTTTTGTTGTGTTTATATATTAGGAAAAGTTGTTGTTTTGTTTTTTTATTGTAAAAAAATGGATGTTTTTGGATAATTTCAATTTTAAAGTTTTATTTATTGATTTATATAGTTTTCTTATATTCTTAAGAGGATGTTTTGCTGCAACTTGTATTTACTTTAAGTAGAATGTATCCAATACGATGAAGATAGAACGCAAAAAATTTAATTGAACGGAGAGTCGGAATTAATTTTTTATTTTTCTAATGTTTGTGCGAATTTACGCTAAATTAATGACTAAATCTTATTAAAACTATGCTACCAAAAGCTCCCATAAAATTGAATAAAAGAGATTATGTGTGGCATATGAATATTTGATTATTAAAGAATATAGAATCTAGGATGATAGGATACCTAATAACTAAGAGCTAGCCCGATAACTAGCTAAGACACAACTCATTAGTACAACTACAAGCGCACTATAAAATCACGTGCTTTCGTGTATTTATTGTTATTATTATATATTTTTTATCCGATTATGTATTACAAATAAAAGCTCAAGATGGTGTACTCACAGATAGGGGCGTAAATGAGAGTCTACGCGCTCAAAAAGTGTGTTCGTGTTCGACTCGTTTACTTAGCGAGCCGAACACGAGCCGTCACGAACAAAGAGTAATTTTGACAATTCTAATTATGTAGCCATCATATGTTAAGGATTGTGGCAAGATTTAAAACATCATTTGAATCTAATTTAATAATTTTTATTATATTTTCTTTATTAATACTTTTAATTGATTATAAATCTTTGTCGCCTTGTAGTCAACTAATTTTTTTAAAAAAACTACTCATCAAAGATATATATATAGTTGATTAGTAGTATTTCGAGCCAAAACGAGCCGAACACGAACGAATAAATATTGGTTTGTGTTGTTCGTGTTCGGCTCGTTAACTTTTCGAACAAACCGAAAACGAGCTTCTTAACGAGCCGAACATGAGCTGTTCGCGAGCAACGAGCCGTTTTGACAGCCATACTCACCGACAACTTTTGATTCAGCTCTTAGAATACTTTGTATCCAATAGATATTCTTATTATCTTATTAATTTTCTTATTTAATTAACTCTTTATTTTTTGAAAATGATAAGTAATAAATGGCAAAAATATATTCCTAGAATATATGATCATAAAAAGAGGAATTTACATACACACCATCCATTTCCTATGTATTTACATATCTAATAATTAAGCTTAGCTTTTTTATAGCTATACCATCTCAAACTTTCATATCACATAAAAAAGACTACCATTTTAACTTGGAGAATTCACATATATACGACACAATTCTTATTTATTTACAAATATAGCATCCTAAGTTGGATATTTACACTTCTAACACCTCAGCGTCTTTAAACAAAGCATGAAAAGGAGCATTAATTTTTAAAAAAAAGTAGTGATTGTGATATTTTTAATGATAAATTAAGGATTTGAGTGGCATGCACGTAAATATGAATGTTTGGGTGGTAGATATATAAATGTATAAGAATTATGTGGTATGTATGTAAATGCCCCTTTTTTTTGTAAAAAGTATAAGAGATGCCTATGTATGGCCATGTGATAATCTTTGAATTATTCTTTCTTATATTTATTAAATTATTTATTTACAATATTAATAATTTGCTCTCTTCTACATACCTAAATATTTTGATGAAAAATAAGCTTTGCAATGAGCTTGATGTCAACAACTTTTTATTATTTGGCAGAAATCTTGAGATATTTGATTAATAAAAAATATTCCAGATTCAAATTCTAGATCATCCCGAGCTTCGATTTCTGCAAGTTTATAGTCAAAATGATTATCTAGACGAGCAAACTCAATGATACCAAAATTGTTCCAATTAAAGTTCGACCAATTCCAGATCAAGCCATTAAAGCACATTTTAAAGTTTCAGATTATTAATTGGATGATCAAATGAACCTTAAATTTGACATATTTATATTCAAATCGAGTGTCTCGACTTCTAAGTTCATTAAGGCCCTCAAAATATTAAAAAAATCTCTTTTGATCAAAGACATCAATATAGGTTGTCATTATGTGGTTACAAGTTATTCACCAAATGACAAAAACGCCCCTTCATCAAGGGATGGAGGGGCAATAAATAGACCCCCCTCACCTGACATCAAGGGAAGATGAGTATGACTCCAGTGCTTTTATGGACTGGAGATCTGACAATAACTTCCGACCTCCATAGTTTCCAACTGTTATTAACCACCGACCGTCATCGACCACCGCTGGCCACCCCTTCTCTCCAACGTTAGAAAACCCTGCTTTTTAATGATGTATCACGAGTATGTTTTAACGACGTATCTCAAATACAGTGTAACGAATAATGATGTATTGAAGTAACAACGATGACTCTTGGCCTCTATCATCGTCGGCAACAATAAACCACTACCTACAACCCCTGCTCATCGTCGTTGGTGAACTCTGCTTATTAAAAACATCTCGAGTGCAAGTAACAACGTATCACAAATGCATTGCAACAAATAACGTCATATTGAAGTCCCAATGATAACTCCCGGCCTCTGCAGTTGCTAACCATGGTCGACCACCATCACCTACTACTTCTCGCTGTCATAGATGAACTCTGCTAACTAATGACTCATTCCAAATACGATGTAATGATGTATCCCCAATCGGTGTAAAGATGTATCCCAAATGCGGTGTAAAGATAACACTTCATTAAAGTATCGATAAGAACTTCCTGCATTCACAGTTTCTAATCACCATCAATCATAACCAACTGGCTATCATCGATCATCGTTGAACTTCCCTGTTTGTCGTTGTCGGTAAACTCTTCTAGCTAACGACGTATCTCAAATAAGTTGTAATAATATATCTCAAATACGGTAGAATGTTGTATCCTACATATGCTGTAACAACGTATCTCGAATACATTATAAACAAATAACGTCATATTGAAGATCCGACAATAACTTCCGATGATAAATGTTTATGACCACAATATTTAGAATACAATGACTTCTTCCAAACTCCTAAAGTTTTCTGTATGTATTATACCTACAAGTGTTGTCTCTGGTGTAAAGTAGTAAACCGATGTAGCTCCAATTACACAGTTTTTATGATAATAGAAAAGTAATAGGAGGATTTTTGATAATAGTAAAGTAATAGGAGTAATAGATCCAATGCTGAGCATGCCCACACCATTAAAGCTCTTCCTAAAATTTTGATGGATCTTCCTATATGCAATAAAACTTGAATAAATTGCCTTTCTACTGATTAACAAATTTGATGGTAAACATTATCCCATAATTTATTTGAAATCCAACCCAACTTCCTCACATGTCTATTTCCTAGATTGCAATACAACTACTTTTTTTGACTTCGTTGTGGCCCTCATTTGACAATTTACTCCATATTATCCAATTTTATTTAAAAACTCTTTTAAAATTTATTAAATTTCTTTTGAGATCAATATGATATAAAAATTAAATGAAAAATAATTTGTTATACTCATTTTAAATCAAATTTAATGGTAGAAAATTGATTAAGCTAGAACTAAATCAATGAATAAGACCAAAATTTCCTCCTTTTCAAGAAGTTTGATGAGGTGATGGAATGGGGTTTCCTTCCATCGATCGCAAAGGACTGTTCATCAAGCTCGGTGATTTAGCTCGTGTTAGGTATGACTCATGTACCAGATAAGAGACAGATGTTAGAGCGGAACGAAGCGAGCCAACGAAGCAGAAGCATTTGTCTAATCAGGAAGAGTTTTGTTATGTGGGTTGGGGGTGTGGCGGTAAGGTAAATAGGTAATTTTGTAATTACATATTGTACGTCAGAGTTATATATGTGCTGCATTATATCCCTAAAGGGGGATTTGCACTCTTTTTTGTGAAATCTAAAGAAGTAACCGCTCTGCTTCTGAGGACGTAGATAAATTGTCGAATCTCGTTAAATCTCTGTGTTTTCTTCTTTTCTGTGTCGATTCTTGTGTTACTTTGCCCTAAAATTCTCAACAGCTCAGTACATTTTGGTGAGCACGATAGAAGAGCTTTTACGGTGTGGGCATGCTCAGTAAAAGAGCTCGAGGAGCATAAGCAAACTCAGGGGGAAAGACTCGCCCAAACATGTAAGATTGGCTAGCTCTATCGATCGAACTCTCTAAAATCCTTCTGATTTAGATTGGACAGTAAATTTACTAAAGGAAATGAGTATCTTCAATTCCAAGATAATTACTTAATTTGACTTTGATTGGGACTTTATAAGGACATATTGGAATTCTTAATATCATTCGGATTTAAAAAGTACATAAAATCGGTCCTTTTATTACACAGCGTACGTGGAAGGAAATCAGACAAGCTTTGTTACCTAACACTAATGACCACATTTGGCTTGTCAGAACGATATTCCTTGTCAAATAACGACTTTCAGTCTTTCATCATAATTGCTAGCTTTAAATGATTGTGAGCTTATTTTATTACTTGAAAGAATACATGGTATTTACATACATACCGCTCAATTCCTATGTATTTACATATGCAACCCCTGAATTTTGTTTTTGCATTTATACCACCCAAATCAATTACATCACAACAAAAAATGTGAATTTTTTAACATTTAAGGAGTGAAATATAACTTTTCATGGACAAAAAAAGGTGGTGTATATATATATGTAAAATTGACATTTAGGTGTTAGATATGTAAGTACATACGAATTGAGTGGTGTGTTTGTAAATTTTCCTAAAAATAATAATTTCATTTTTTTTAATTAATTTTATATATGATAGTGAGGTCATTACATCATAACTTAGCTTTATTGATTAATATGTAGAAGATTTATGGATTGTTTAGTTACAAAAGCTGTTCGGAGTGCAAGATATGGGTTTATGAAGTATTTAAAACATCCACTCTTCTAACAAGATCATCAGATGGTTGACATTTAACGTGACCAAACC